ATCACTGACGAGAATATTGAATATAAAGCACTCGCCACCTGAAAGAAAAAGAACAAATCTCTTGTGAATGTGAATGAAATTACGTATCATCCGAAAGATAGTAAAAATGGGTTCCAACTTACTCTGATCAAAAAGTTTTTCTTGACAAAGAAGAAACCAGCCACCGATATGCCCATTGGCATCCCTCGAAATCTCTTCATAAATCCAATTATCTATGTTAAATAAATATAATAAGTTTTCTCTATGGAAAAAGATGACTGATAAGCAGTGATATTACCTTAAACTTAAATTCGAAACGTAAATTAGCCGATGAAAATCTCCCAATAGAAATAAAATCGTCATAAATCTGAAATTAAAACATATGTTTTCCACTTAGCTCAGTTTATTACAACGTTATTTAAATATAAATTATTTTTTAATTCTTAAAATGTAAAACTTTGACTTATATTCTTCATTTGTTATCATTAATTACTGTATTTCAGCAGTTTTAGCTCTTCATTGAATAATAATTGCAGAGATAGTAATAAATATATATTTATTTACACTGCTACTATCAATTTTTCACTATGAACTATTGTAATTACCTGTACTTAATTATACGATAATAAAAAAAAAAAATGTGGCTCGCTCACCATAGAAGTCATTATAGAAAGACCCCAAGATGCCAGAAGCATTCCATTTGTAAACAGAATTGCGATGATTCCAACTAATATACGAATTTCTGGCTTCATATTAACGAAAATAACACCGTAAGATAGAAAACAACTGACATAAGTAAAATGACAGTAGAGTAGCGGAATGAGCATTTCCCATTTGTCATTTGCCATCTGGTAAATTTCCCATAATTCTGTGTGTTTCTGCAAAATGTCTTCCAAATTTCGCTTCAATAAAAGCTCTTGTTTCAATCCATTCAGTTCTTGCGATAGTTTGAGAAATCTCTTACATAAAACAACGCATAACAAAGCAATTGTAATGGCAAGTGATAATATCTGAGATGCCCCGTAAATGAACCAAACGGCAACAGTAAATGAGCAAGTAAATGCTTCAACATCGCTCCCTTTCCTCATTTTAATTATAGAAAATATAAAAATGGATGCCACAAATTTTAACAGCAGATAAACCAGAAACAGACATGTTACACAAACTAGCAAGTAAACCTCAATTTTTTCGAAGAGAATATATTCTCCTTCGTAAGAACTCTTAGTGCAATGCACGTATAACTTATTTCTCTTAACAATGCTAAATTGTAGAGCAATATAAAATGATATAATCGAGTTTACAGTTGTGGCCGAAGTAGCATAATCGCCGAACATGTAAGTTCCTCGAGAGCAGAGTGCATCGGATCGAAAAATCTGCACAAAGAAGAAGAGGAATATATACCAGAGGTATAACTCGACGAGATATGTATAAAGCTTATAAAAAGCAGTTGGCAAGTTCTTTCGTTGTAATTCTAGATGATTCGGTATGGTGCAAGGGCACGTTTCAATTATATCGAAGCCACATACTTTAATGGCAGACGTAATGGATGTTAATTTGTACCCTGGGCATTTGTCACTCATAATGACAGTGAATAATTTAATTGTTTTATGTATTTGGATTTGTTATAAATTTGTGGCAAAGCGTTTTAGAACTGATGAATTTCGTTGCAAAAGATTTCACATCTTCAATTAGCTTTAAGTGTTAAAATTTGTTGAATTTGTTTTAAAATATAGATCATTACTCACCGCTCTTTCTTCTGTAAACTTATAAATAACTTTTTTTATCTACGAAATGCTTTGGAATGAGATTCTTCCCGTGTTTTTGTAAATTCTCACCATGGCAACAAATCATCAATAATTTCTTAGTCCTTGTTGTTGAATTTTATGTTCTTCTGTACTTTATTAGCCTAATTTATTCTTTAGTATTACTTAATAAACTTTTTAAATCGCAAATTCCGGATTTAATAGGTTGTTTGGAACTCAAATAAAAATAGCACGTCCGAAAGAATGTCTATTCGCATTGTAGATACGTTTGTACTTACGCAACCTCCACGTCATACGTTACTTTATACCTTAATAATGATCCGTTCAGATATGTCGGGTCCCGTCCCTCACCAGTTGGTGGCCCCATTGTGGGCCTGGCCGAACCCATAATGGGCCCAGTAAAAGAGGCGCTCTTGGTGCTCACGGGGCGGAAAGAGTTAGAAAATAAACCTTAATAAGGATACTAATTAATCTTTATAGATCTTAGAAAGCGAGCTATTGATAGAATATTAATGAATTCCGTGTTCAATTTCCGTTCTTACATAAGAGGAATTTGTTTATCTTGTTAAAACGTTTGACGTAATTAATGATTGTTCTTACTAAAAGCTAATATCTGCGGAGAATTAATGTTATAAAATTAATTTTTACCTTACATATTTCACCTTACCTTACATAATATTTAATGGAATATAATAAATTTTCTAAATAACTCATTACATGCAATGGTTTATGTAATCTGAATAGACATGGAAGAAAAGTATTAAATTAATAAAATCTATGATGATTTTCGCCCACCAGTGGCCAAATGGATAAAACTATTGAACGCTGGTAGTTGGTGGTGGGATCGTGCCTAGTCAACAAGCAGACCAGGTGGTTTTTCGGGGTTTTTTTTTACGTTAGTAACAAGTAAATAGGGGATAGTTTCCCATAAAGTCCTCTTGGTAAGCATCCCTCTTGACAGATCACCCACGTGTCACGTTGCCATAAACAACAAATACCAGTAAACCAAACTAGATGCATCGGCTTATTATTATTATTATTGCTGTTTCATATGGAGAATGCATCAGCTAATCGTGTGATCTGAAATATAGCTCGTTTGGCTTGTTTTCCGGCATGCGTGATATAACAGAGTTACTATATTACTTTCCCAGCTCTGTTATATATAACAGAGGTAATATATGGCGATTGGTCAAAAAATGACCCACATTTTTCGACTTAGGACACCTTGAAACATCAAGAAATGCAAAAAATAGAAAAAAAAAAATTTGAGGGATTTTCTGTATGTATGGATGTTTGCGTGTGGGGGGCCAATTTTGTTCACCCTCTTTGAATCTTAATAACTCTTGTGCTTTTCGTCGAAAATTTCTGAAATTTTGCAGGAAGGTTTGTGTTTTATGGACACTGACGATATTAAATTTTGGTGGTTATAGATCGAATGAGTGGGGAGATCGTGGAGGTCGTGTATCAATTTCGAGTAGGGTCGGATTTTACTCGTTATTAGCATTTACAAATTTTTTAATAAAACCCTCAAAATTAAACTTTTTACCATTTTATAATACAGTACTTAAAAACAAATAGTTTTTTTAAATAAAATATCATAACGGATGGCGCCACACACGCAGTTTTAAATGTTGCCGGGAAAGTTAAGAAACTCGTTGCTGGGTGTTTTCAAGGGCTATTGGTCAAAGTAGCAGCCTTTTCTATCTTGATAATTAAAAATTTTTAAGAACATATGTAAAGTTTTTATTGCTATTCAGGTCTCGTTATTTCTAGTTTATTAATTTATGTGATTTTTATTGCTTGGGGTTTTATCTTATGTTAATTTCAGAGTGATCCTTGCCTACTGGCAGCACATTAATATTTCTTTATTTTTTACTTACCGGTATTTATTTATTTTTAAAATGATCAAAATTTTGTAAGAATTTCAGATAAAGCTTTCCTCTGTAGGAATTTTGGTTCAATTACATTTAATCGCCGATATATTACGTGCTTAATTTTAACCGAATTTTGTTCGATCTTCTTAATTCTTATCTTTCATTCCAAGACTGGTTCTCACCACGTTAGGATGCTATCGTAGCATTTGTATGCGTGATACCTTGTGTACACCAGTCCTACAACGAACTTAAGTGACGAATCTGTCTGCATTGCCTTTCAATTCCAGAAATCGCTTGATGATTCTGTAAACCACTGTCTTTGAATTGTCTTCCGTAGAAGGGTCCGATGTCAGGCAAATTGTAAGCGCGCTTCGGACCCACCGGACAGCCGATGAATGCCTTTCTCTTGTGTGTTTTTGATGGCCACCGGATATCCTCTTTGATCTGAATTCTTGTCTCTTCCCTTTGTCTTGACCACGTCAGGAAAATGATGGACAATGTTATAACAATAGTTTTTTCAGTAACAAGATCGACTATAACATTTGTCCAAATAATATTTTTATTGTTAATTTGTAATAGCGTATAAATTATTATTGTGAAATGTGACATTTGCAAGGCTTAAACGCTTAGGTCACAGTTAATAAGTCCAGAGCAACCCACTAACTTTTCTATTGCCAAAAATAGAAACTGAATGTTTTGTATAATTATTATCAGGCTGCAATTTAAAAAAATTGTAGACCTATAAATTTCCACTGTCTTTCCTTAACATCCAGAACTGAGTAAGCTAGAGGAAAGTCGAGACAAGATATGGAAACCTTAGGGACATGGAAGGCCCGATTAACTATATATAAACTTCAAATGCAAACCAGAAGTCATGTTATTTCAATTCAAAAACTTATCCTCTGAAAGTAGTTAATGGATGACCAGCACGACTTTATTTTTTAAATGAAAAGTATGATGTCTGTACAGGGACAAGACTACTAATTTGAGGTGGAGAGCCCATATTTGAAATTAAATTAATTAAAAATATCATAAAAAATTGCAACCAGGCATTGTGACCATGTCATAATAAATAATTGCTCGTTTAAATGATATAGAAATGTCTTGGGCTAACTGCATTTCCTCTATATTTTTCTACAGTTTGCAAATAACTTTAGCAATTAACAAAAAATTTGCGAGAAATTAAAATTTGTAAAAATCTGGTAACAGATGGTTCTATAGGAAAACCATCACCCCTTTTTAGTTCTACCGTCTACATAAAATCTTATAACTCGAATTTTAACCCACTTTCCAATTAAAAATGCTAACACAAGAAGAACTTCCATAATTCAGTGTTCCATATATAAAAATAAAAGATAGAAAACAATAAATATTTTTTAAAAGTTTTAAAGAAATGCTGTTTATTCACATAACTTTGTAACATTGTCAATTAGGCATAACAGAGCTTCTTTGCTAACAAAATACTCACACAACAAATCGCACAGAAATGTTCCTTAGTTTCAAAGTTAACAAACATTCGAGAATGCAATAGAAGATTACATGAGTGATGTGCCCAAGAATTATAAATAAGCTGGTATACAATGTTTTCATACAGGACTGTAACCTAACTGCCTGTTATCCATTCAGGAGCTAATTATCAAGTATTTAGTTAGTACCTGAAGTCATCATATAGAGTATACAGTGTATACTACCAGTTAAGTGCTCATTGAATCAGGTTTATTCAATTCGGATATCGTAACAAATAATTTTGAATATGGAAAATGGCTAAATATTCTGTATTTTATTTTGTTAGTTTATATTTACAGATATACGTTTTTAAATTTATTATTGTATGTAATTTTAAAATTTTATAAGAAAAACTCAAGACAGTTTTAGCTTTCCTCTTGCATGAATTGTATGATGTAATTATTGAGTCATTTTACTTTATTTTTAACCATTTAAATACATAAATATTTACATGTATATATTACAAATGTAGGACAAATTAAATTAACAGTGTAATGTCAACCTGCTGATAAATGTGTTAGGAATTCCTATAGACAATAACTGTTCAACTGGTAATTTTGATAAGTAAGGAATGTAATAAAGAACAGCTTGCCAACAGATTTCCTTGAGTGTAGGAATATTTATCCATAAGGTATACATATCATTTGTTCTCATTTTGTGGAACATACTTCTTATTCCTCCAAAAATAAAAACTTGTCCATTCTGTAAACAAAAAATGTGCTTCACTTTCACAACTTTCATAAAATTTGAAAATTGAATATAAAATACTTACGGGAGCGGCAGCAACAGAGTGAAAATATAAAGTTTCTGGTAATTCATACTGATATCGTGTCCATTGTCTAATTTCCAGATCCATTTTCCAAATATCTGATAATATCTCTCTTCCAGTAAAACCACCAAATACATAAACATCTGATATGAAAATTAAAAACATGACATTACTTATTTAGATTTTATGTTCCAGAATATAAAACAAAAATATTTACCTTTATCAAACTGAACACAGCCATGACATTTTCGTTCGCATGGCATATCTATAAAATTTTAAAATTATACATTTACTTTATGCATTACAATTATCATATTTTCATTTGTTTGTTTGTACTATTTTTGTAAAATATTTAAAGGAATACTTTATGTAATATAGAAAATATTGTGAGAAGAATTTTAGATGAATACAAGAAGTAATAAGTTGTTAACAGACTGAATAAAGAATTTTCAATTATCTCAGTTTATTTAAAAAAATGTGTAGTTTGGTATAGTCAGTGTTTAAAAAAAACCAGACTCTATCTTCAGTTTAAGAAATATACTTTAAGGTTAAATCACCAAATAATATTCAACTGAAGAGGGGCCAGAGCCCAAAATGTATTTTGGGCATGTATTAATGGTGATAATGTATATTACTGATTAATAAATTCATAGAAAATTATATCAGTGTCATAAGCCCTACAGAACAATTGTATGTGATAACACAAATATTGCAATATTAATTGAGTTAATGGCCAAGCAATATTACTAATATCATTGTAATTTATGTTTTCTAACTTTAATAATGTTGCAATTATTACCATTTTAAATTTAAATATTACAAGGTATGACAATTTTAAGAGCTATATAATAAATTATAACTTGGCAGACTGATGTTTTTGCTCTGTAACCTTAATTGTCAAGAGACAGTTGAATACAATCTGAGTACAAGCAATTTATTCAATAACTGGAAATTAAATAGAAATTTTATCACCTTGTATGCATGATCTGTAAGAAAATTTTATATATTTCCTCTGTACTCAGCAGATAAGATACAAATGTGAATTTACATTTTTAGTGTAGTATTCTTGTTGGAATAAAAACTAGTTTACATTTGAAAAAAATTCATTATTATAGTTTGGATATTTAGTTAAGTATGCATCAATTACAAATATGAGCTAACAAGATTCAAAAACGTTTGAGTTCTAAGTGTTAAAGATTACTCAAAGTAATAAGTCCAATTAAAAACATAACTTTTAAAACAAATTAATTTTGTTAAATTTAAATTTGTAATCATTGAAGTTAAAATTAAAATTAATTGTTCATATTTAAATAGTGAAGTAAGCAAATAAAATTCATAGTTCAGAAGAGTTAATAACTAGATTATATAATTTTTAAGTATTACTTTACCATGAGGAGTTCTTGTATTTCCTGTTGTTTGTACCAGTTCCCATTTGTGAGTATTTAAATCAAAAGTAGGTATCTGCAAATTAAAAACATAAAATAATAATCAATGGTAATTTTCAACATTATTATAATAAAGAACTACAGTTATAAAAAATATAAACTATCAATAGTTTGGCAAAAAAGATTAATTCATTTAAGTATTTTTTCATGAAAACTAAAATACAACTTTAGAGATTTTATTGTAACTGGGCTGCAATTTGAAAAAATTGTAGACCTATAAATTCCCACTGTCGTCTGTCCGTCTTTCCTTAATCTTGAAAACAGAGATAGATGAAAGACAAGACCAGATATGGTAACCTTAGGGGCTGAAGGTCCTGTTTAACTATGTAAGAACTCCCAATGCAAACAAGAAGTTATGTCATTTCAATTCAAAACTTTTCCCTGAAAGCAGTTAATAGATGACCAGCATGATTCCATTGCTAACAGAAAAATATGATAAACAGGGGCAAGGAACTACTAATAATTTCAGGTGGAGAGCATACATTTTCAATCATAAATAACTGCTCATTCTTTTAAAGTATTCTTTGAAGGCATAATTTATCAACATAAATACTGTTTCTCAGTCTTACTTCAATCAATGATCTTACCAAAAAATACTTTGTGCTAAAATCATATATAAAAAAATATTACAATTTTGAAATATTCTACTGAAAGTGCAAAACAAAAAGAAAATATGAATCTCAGTACAGTTATACACTCTTTCTACAGTTATTTACAAATAAGAGTAACTGTTAAAAGTATTTATATTAGTAAGTAAAAACCAGAGAGAATGCCAGGGGTGCTGTGGTCAGTTGGCGTCAGAGTTAAGAGACTAGAGGTGTACGTTAAGCAGAGCCAAGTCTCCGTGTATTCTTTTGTTTTAATAAATTACAAGTAAACATTGTTGGATTAAAACTGAAAGAGTCTTTATTTATAATAAACACGGAAAAACATTAACAGTAACTATATAATAACAACTATTAAATTTCGAATATTTTTCTTTTATTTATTTTTATATTTAACAGAGCCAATGTCTCAGGATAATCTAATCTTACAATTTGTTTCTTTTTGCACATTGTGTATCTGCATAAAAAAATGACTTATAAAATCCTGAAACCATATTTTAATATGAAAGAACAATAATTACCATTCATACACAGCATCACACTATCTTAATGAATGTTTTGATTATTTCTATTGGTTTAAATTATTAAATGTACACAACCATCAAAATTTTAAGTAGCTTGTGTTAATCTATTAATAATATATGATTTTCCATCTGAACAGAACAATTTAATTAAATTAATCAACCACAAACCTTTACGGTGCGAAATTACATATAAAAATCCGGTTAAATGATTAATTTAGTACAATTTAATTAATTAATAATGTGCAAAATTAATAGATTAAAAATATTCTGAATTATTTTTTGCCAAAATATATCAATTAAATAAAGATAGAAAAGAAGCCACATGATTGATTAATAACACAATCTTGTGTTTAATACTCTCAAAAATATATTAAACTAAATAGTTTTATAATTATTTCAAAACTCAAAATTTCATGAACAAAAAATGCATTTAATAAATTTTGTTCTTTAAGAATTTAGTTTTTACTCTTCAGATAACTGTTTTAAAATACATTGAATTAATGTAAAATTTTATATACAAAAAATATTTACATTGTACTTAAATTCTTCTACAATTTAAATTAATATGTAATTTCCTGATTTTTTGCTTTACTTTAAAATGTAATAAAATTTTTAATTATTGTGTTGCATCAAGAATTTTTAAATATGAAAAATTTCTCATTATCTATTTAAAGGATTTGTTTAAAAACTATATTTATATTACTATGAGTTATTTTAACTTACTTGAGTCAATTCTAATGAATCTATTGCAGTTCCTCCTCCAAATACATAGATTTTATTCTTGTAAATGGCAATTTCATGACGATATCTGAGACACAAAAATAATATTGAAACATAACAACTTATGACTTTGAATTACACAACAAAATGATCAATGATCATTGCAGAACTGATTAAATTAAATTTTATAACAATACATTTAGATCTTAATATTAATACATTTTATTTTATGCTTAATTTCTTATTTTATTTTTAGTTCTAAATTATTAGGTAGTACATAATAAACTTCCCACAGTCCAATACTCAACCAAATGAAATGTATTGCCCAATTAATTAATTTTAATTAATTGGGCAATAAATTTGCTATTATTAATTATTAGATATTAAGTAATTTGTATTAGAGGTAGACATTAGGCACCATCTCTTATCTAAATTAATAATTATAATTTTTAATAATTTATTAAATAATTTCTTCCAGATGGTTCTAAATT